TTTCCGAGCAAAAAAACGTTGAGGCCAAAACGACCGATTTTCGCTAATCTTCTATGAATTTTTCATAATTCAGCTAATTCAGTTCAGCGGTTAGATAGAGTATTTATTAGAGACGCCCAGAGAACCAAAATTTGGAACGTGAATCGCTCCGTCGACAAAAAATCTGCGAAAATAGCCAAGGGGGTGAGGGACTGCATTTCAAAAACATATTTTATATATATAGGGTATATATAATGAAGCATTGTTATGGCAATCAACTGTAACACTCTGGAAAAATAACTTGGCCAGAAAACTAACTAACTAATCTTAATTAATATAGTTAGTAATTATGCAAATTAGTATGCAAATTGACCCATGTTAGCTCTGTGAACATATTGTTTAAAATAAACGCTTAGAGCAATTTGACATTTTCTATATTAATTTTGAATTATTAATCTTGAACAACAATTTTGAAAACAAATTACATGTTTTGGTGAAAGGAGACAAAAGTTTACTTTAGCGTTCAAGGAGTAAAAATCATTTATTAAATTTATAAATTTGTCTTCATTACATTAGAAATGACATCACTTTCCTCCAATAATTTGTCTAAAAAACAGTGTTTAACCCTTAAACTGAACTCACAGATTTTGTGACTTTGACAGCAAATAAAATAAACCAACGCACAATTCTAGATAAATAGGCATCGTAAAAGTGAATGAAACGCGACACAGCAAAAATCAACCATACATCACTTACCTTGTCACCGAGTTCAATAGAAATATCTAGGTGTCGCTGACAGCATACAACAGCTTCATCAAACTTGCCAAGAACCTTCAATGTGTTGCCTAGGTTACCACTTGCTTTTGCTTCCCCCAATCTGTCACCTATTGTACTGCATCGACAGGGTGGGAAAAGAGAATAGAGCGTAAAAAAGTGAGGTCTTTTATCGATGAGTACACTTTGATTACATCACCTGCTACGAATAGTAGAAAATATAAAAGAACAATAAATTATGATTACTTTGAATTTACAAATATGTGAATGGTACACTTACTGTTTCGAAACAAGACGTGGTTCATGTACTGACAATACAGACCTTAATGTAATCTACATGCATGTATAATAATTTTGTTTTCAAATACACAGCAACATTTTTATTTTAAATAATCGAATTTGACCCAGTAGAGTTATTTTATATTATACAAACACAGTGTTGTTTGTTTATTATATAATAAACCCAATATATCCCATCAATTGCAGTCGAAGCCATGCTACACACAAATTCAATAGTATGTTGTTGCGGCATCATTTCCAGTAGGAACAAACTTACTTGGATAACACCGCTGATTCCCAGCACTGGTTCCGAGGCGAGTTATTTCCGCCACTGTAAAATTTTTACTGTCCATTCATACATGTGCAAATATAAATAACAATCAAGGCTTACCGAGCTAATGTTAAATCATGTTTGTGGTATTCCAATGCCTTTCCATATTCTTGAAGATAAAAATAAGCATTGCCAAGTTGACTGTAGATAGCACTCAGTGTCTTTAGATCATCTGTACCAACTTGCACGGCTGCTTCAAAGAATTGCACACCTGTTTTGCAATCACCAGCTTTGCATAGTCTTTCCCCTTCAAGAGCTAACTCAATACACGATGCATCCATCTAATAACAAAAATAAAAAATAGTCTTATTGGGCTTTACATAAATGAGGAGTTTTTTCTGTAAACTATTAAAATACTAGTAAATTATTTCGTTAAACTATTCATTCATTCATTCACTTATTCAAGAATACGCCTACTACAGTACAGCCTGAGCAGAACTTAATTTCCATGCTTGCTATATCAGCTAGCTTCGCCTTTTCAAAAAAACTTTCAATTTTTTAAGTGAGTACATTGATTGTATGATTGTCGTCAATAATTTCTTCATATTTTTCATGGTATTTACCCACGTTACTAATATAAAACGTGTTTACTGATTACGCTGCTCAATTTAGATATTTCACAGTTTTGAAAGCAAGCTAGACTAGCTAAAGGGAGCTGAATATTATGTTACACTCAAACCGTATGACTTAAAGCAGGTATCGTACACTGTTTTCCGGCAGGAAATGACCATATTCAGATGTCAAACCATCTTGACGTTTTTTCTTATTGAAAAAGACATACAACTAGATTGTATACATGCACTTTTTGTTTTTCACACTTTCTCTGTGTACAAAGGTCACTTTAAATCCCACGATTACTGACACAAAATATAATTTAAATTTACTTATTAAAAATTAGCTACATTTCTGTTTTTGTCTTTGCAATTTAATGCAACCTATTTTTATTTTGTCATGTAATTTTTAATTTATGTTGCTGAAATATTCAAATAAAAAAAAAAATTATTCATTCATGGTAATGAGGGTTAGAGTGTTTGCAACATTTGTCAAATTATGCTTTCTAATATATTCGTTAAAAGATACAAAACATTTTCTACTATATGTGCCTCATTTCTGATACATGTACAATGTAAGCATAAATGAAAACAGCTGAAATAGCCCCGCTGTGATTCATCAAAATTAGAGAATTAGCGATATCATCACAAAATGAACAAATCTGAAAGAGGTCTACCTGTAGTACATGTACCTATATGTACAACATAAAAGCAATCAGATTTACGGTTTTTAACAAGAAGTTGAAAATATCACTTTTTACCAAAAAAGACAAAAATATTCACCAAAATTAGAGAATTGAAGATATCATCACAAAATGAACAAATCTGAGAGAGAACCACATGTAGTACCTATATATGTAATATCAAAGCAATTGGACTTGTGCTTTTTAACAAGAAGTCAAAAATATCACTTTTTACCAAAAAAGACAAAAATATTCATCAAAATTAGAGAATTAAAGATATCATCACAAAATGAACAAATCTGAGAGAGGTCCACATGTAGTACCTATATATGTAATATCAAAGCAATTGGACTTGTGGTTTTTAACAAGAAGCCGAAAATATCACTTTTTGACAAAAAATTTCACCAAAAATAGAGAATTTGAGATTTTGACATGAAATGTACATATCTGAGAAAGAACCATCCAAGATACTTGCATATCAAAAAAGGCACAAAATACAGTTTTTTTAAACTGCCAGGTGCAAAACCTAATATTGGTCTTATTCGGTTTCCATGTCAACAAAACTGATCATCAAATACAGTAGCTGGTGTTTCATTTTCATGCAAGTTCATGTAAACTAACATTTTGTGAGTTTTTGCTGAAGTTTAAAACAGGGCCTTGATCCTAATT